AGGGCTCCCTGTCCTCTGTGCTGCTGTGAGCTGGGCAGACCACAACCTGCTAAAGCAGCACCACATCTCCCCAGCTAACAAAGAGGTGGAGGGACCTTGAACCTCATTAATTACCCTGAAAGTTAGTGCAGGTTGGTAGTGGAAGAGGTGAAAAAACAGCTGTGGAAATACAATATCCACAAAGAACCAGCATCCAAGGGCAGGCAGCACTTGTGCTTTCCGAAGGAGAGAAGCAAGGTCTGTTTGGGTGAGATTTTCCTTTCCTGAACCAAGAGGCAAGTAATTCTGTTTGTTGAGAGCTGGGAAGGTTGTGACTCACCTGCAGCCAAGAGATTATTCTGTTCTCACTGGAATACTTTACTGGTACTTTCTTTGGGAAGTTGCCAGTGTGTAAACTCCAAGTAAAACAGAACACGGAGATAAATAAAGCACAATGTGCACTCTTTTTATTACTGTAATTGCCTTTCTGCCAGCCATTGCCCATCCCAGCTCAATAAATTCCTGTGTCTCATGCCTGGACGGTCGTTTCCCTTTTTTTTGCCAGTTGCTGTTCCCGTGAAGTCAGGCATATGTGGAGCTGGAAGAAACAACTTGTTTCCAAAGAAATGTCTGGCACTCAGCACAGGAACAAGTTAACTCTGTCAACTTGAATCCAAGTTTCAAGCGAAACCAAAGTGGTTTCCTTTGCAGGCTCACTCACCCACCTTTGTTTTCTGGCTTTGAAGAAAAAAAAGCCTCTGTTTTTGTATTTGCTGTTCATACATATTAAGAGTGGGTTTGTTCTGGTGCTTGGGAAGGGGATGGGGCTGAAAATGAACCGAAACAGAAGCTGGAGCCAGAGAGAGCTGTTTCTTTGAAGAGCTTTGCCCTTTCCCTTTCACTTCTGGCAGCAGTTACTGCAACTTGTTATTAGGCAGAGATTAAAACCCATCAAATGCAAAGGTGACCTTTCAAGCAAAGTGCTTCCTTTTACTCATATTGCAAAATAAAAACACTAACCCGGACGGAGAGCAAATGAATCACTCTCTGTTGACATCATTAAAGTCTGCTTAGTTAATCAGGAAAAAGCCCGACACACAATCAGCTCTTTATAGCAAAAGTGATGTCAGTTTGCTGGGTTTCTGCAGTGAGTGACACGCCAGGGCCTGGCGGGATCGTCACTTCAGTGAAGTGAGGAAAGAGCCTTGGCTCTGTGACCAGTTGGAGTGGCTGTGTCCATGGCCCCTCGTTACCCCCCCGTGGCAAGAAACCAGCTGCTTGCAGAGCCGGGAACCTTTGCACTGGGAGCTGGGGAGAGTGGGGCAATGAAGGGATGGAGTCTGGAGGCTGCTTTTAGCTCCTCAGAGCTGGCTTCGGTCTGGGTTTAACAGGATTTGATTTCACTGCAGGGCCAAGGGAGGAAGGAAAGGCAAAGCCAGAGGTGTAGTTTTAAAAAGATTTTATTAATTTGTAGAAAAAATAAAACATCAAGTTTCACCCACGGTAGAAACACTTGAAGATTTTTTTTGTTCATGTCAATGACAAGCAATACCTACATAAAGTGCCTATTGTTTTCTTATTTAAAAAACCCTTCCCACTCTTTACTCTTTCCCCTCTCCCCCCAGATCTTGCAAATCAGACAAGACAAATGTAAACAAGAGTCAGATTTTTGGTCCATCGGGGCTGTAACTCTGCAATGTCTTTGCAACAGGAGTGTCTTCTGCACGTGTTTTGCAGACACAGACGGACACACAACACAGAGCCAGAGTCCGTGCACAGCTTCTCAAGTTAAAAAAAACAAACAAACAAACAAACCAAACAAAAAACCAACCCCAAAGCCCCAGGCAGGCACTGGCAGGCCTCTGCCCTCCCTCCTGAGGGCAATGCCTGAGGCTGGGTGGTTTGGGAGGGAAAGAAACGCCAAGGTCTGTGTCCTCCATGCTCACCCTCCCACCTGGCCGCCCAGCAGCTCACCCTTTCCCTGTCTCTCTGCCCAGAGGAGGGTGGTCTCAGCAACACCCCTGTCCTGCCCTCCAAAGCCTCCCCTTTCGCTTCCCTCTCTCCCAAAATTCACTCCCAGGTTGGCGGGGGGAGTTGATGAAAGCAATCCCTCAGGAGGAGGGAGGCTGGGGAAGAGGCGACCCTCTCTCTGCCCAGGTGGGCAGTTCGGAAACGAGCATCTTTCCCCTCTCCCTTCCTCCCTCCCTTCCTTCCTCCCTGCCTCCCATGCCAGGGGGCTCCTAGCTGATCACACAGCGGTCCTTCTCCTTGCCATGCCCACCACCGATGGCCTTTTCCCGGATGTACATGAGGTCGCTGTGGACGCTGGGTCGCCGGGCAAAGGGGGCCACGATGCCATAGGCCTCCTCCGTGCTGCCCCGGCCCCCCTCCTTCAGCAGCTTCTTGCCTTTCAGTGCCTTCTTGTGCAGGATGTCACAGTACTGCACGGAGACCTTGCGGTGCAGGTCGGGGCTCATCTCGCTGGGCAGCTTGGCCATGGCAAAGAGCGCTTGGAACATCTGGTCCAGGCTGCTGTTCTTCTTGGCTGAGATCTCGAAGTAGGCACATTTTTTGGGGTCCCCTCCCACCAGCTGCTCTATCTCCCGGGGTTGCACCTCTCGGTAAAAGTCCCGGTCGCCCTTGTTGCCACAGATGACCAGGGGCACCTCTATGTTCTCCTTGGTTTTGTTCTTCAGGCACGACTTGGTCTCCAGGATCTGCTGCTTCAAGCGCTGCACCTCCTCAAAGGAGTCTCGGTTGTCCAGGCTGAATACAAGGATGAACACGTCTCCTGGGGACAAAGAGGGAACATGAGATGGCTGCAGGGACAGGGACACACAGACACCTGCTGCCTGTGCCATACAGAGCCCCGGGGAGAGAAGGACCAGGCAGCACCTGGGTCCTGCATCCTCCTGTCCACCCCGTGCAGGAAGCAAAGTTGCCCACCCTGGGCACACACAAAATCCCACTTCCCTCCTCCCAGGGCTGGAGAAACATCCCCAAACTGGGCAAGCAAGCCTGAAGTCTGGCAAGCTAGTCCCCCCCCACTTCCTCCTGGCGCTCCTGAGCCAAGTACCTGTGAGGATGGAGAGACGGCGCATGGCTGGGAAGGGGTGGTTGCCCGAGGTGTCCAGGATGTCCAGCTGGTAGACCTCGCCGCGGATGCTGTAGAACTTGCGGTGGAAGTCCTCGATGGTGGGCGTGTACTGCTCCTCGAAGCGGCCGGTGAGGAAGCGCGAGACGATGGCCGTCTTGCCCACCTTGGAGGAGCCCAGGATGACCATGCGGTAGCAGTTCTTGGCGGGGATGCTCAGCTCGGCCTCGCTGGGACACATCTTCTTGATCATCGCTGCCAGTTTCATTGAAGCCGGCGAAGGGGCAGCTCGGACCCAGAGGAAGGAGAAGGCGATGTCTGCCTGGCTGCTCAGCCCCTCTCCCCTGGCAAGCAAGGCCGGTGTGAGCTCTGCCCGCCCGCCGCCGCGTTATATGGAGGAGGCAGCGACCGC